AAGCGTTGCCGACAGAAGCAGCAGGGTGTTCCTTTGTCCGCGGTGCCCTTTATGGAACCTCAAGAGCTAAGCACAAAGAAGGACGAGCAACATGCGTTTGGATGAGGATGTCAAGGGCGGAAAGCAGGACAGGACAGGTAATAACGTCGTGCCTCGTTCGACAGAGCCTCATCGAGACGCTAGCTCGTCGCCGATCCGGTTGCGGCGCTTGAGCAGAGGCATCAATGCCGGTCACGTAGTCCAAGCCTTAGCGGGTCCCGGGTACATCTGAGGTCCCGGGTACATCTGGACCAAGCCCGGCCCGTGGTTGTGCGGAGGCTTGGGCGGACGTGCAGAGGCAAGAACATTGCTGGACTCTGTGGTGATGGCATGGCTTCTCAGGGCTGCCACAGTTCAGCCTCGCCTGCCGTGTTGGCAGCCAGAGCCGGTGAGGGCACCAGCCAGAATTGGAGAATTACCCCGGGCGTGGTGGATGAAGCGGGCGTCTATTACAGCCGCTTCACAAGCTGCCGACTCCAGAAACAGCAGCCGGCAGCGTTCCCGACCTCGCGATGCCAGCCCAGCCCAGCCCAGCCCCACCTCCCTCCGGCTCCCCTGCAGTTTCCTCCATCCCTTCCTTCCCTCTGCGCGCGCCCCTCCCCCCCACTATTAACCTGACCCCCAGCATCCAGCTTCTGCCCCCCCCAGCACTCCCTTGTATTCTTACTTTCTTGGCACCATCTGTTAAGGACTTCGCTGTACACAACACACATCCGCTAACAAGGGCGTTTAACACCACGCTCAGCGCAAGCTGAGGGCGGCGATGGCACCCAACCCCGCGGACCAGGCGCGACTGCCGCCCCAGGAACAAGAGCCGATGACTCCCGAACGCCCCAGGAGCTAGAGAAGCGCTCCTCCGGCAGGCCCCACGCGCGGGTCTTGCCGAATTACTGTTGCCACGACGCGCACAGCAACCCGACGACTCTCCATTCGGCTCCACGAACAGCGACAATGCCCACACCGACACCGACCAGCCAGATGCTGTAATGGGAGACGCAGCAGACGAAACCGAGACCGACGAGCCGGACGACCTGCCCGAGACTCAAGGCCCAGCAGTAACGGTTGCCCACGCGGCAGAGACTTATCGCCAACCAGATGGAAGCACAACAGGCAAAGCTGGCCGTCTTCCGCGCATTCTGCACCGCCTTCGACAAGACGGCTGCCCAGTTCAACTCGGGCCACGAGCTCAGCTTCGCGAAGGAATTCTCGCGCGGCTTCATTAGCTACTGGGACGACGCGCTCAACGGCGCGCCCACACGCGCCGGTCAGAATGTCAACAACCGCCACGGCAGAGACGGGACCGCACCGACCTACGCCGCTATGGCCCAGAAGGGGATGGCACAGACAAGGGCCCCTGCCGGCACGCCTCGGCCCGAAGCCCCGGAAGGCGCCTCCGGTCCAGCCGCCTAAAGATGACCTGCGTGTCTTCGTGCGGCTCGACGACAAGTCCCCAGCATGGGGCTATCAGGGGCATGCCATCAGAGCTCACGTAGCTAAGACTCTCAACCTAGGGACAGAACGCATGCCACAGATCGCCCGGGTTAAGACTGGATGGGCTATACGGGCCTCAGACCGGGAGGCGAGGGACCTGCTTGTGGAACGGCAGGACGACTGGGCGGCCCGCCTCGGGGCCGTGGCGGTTGAAGGCTTCCAGAAGTGGCACACGTACGCTGTGGCCGACTGCCCCAGGCAGCTCACGGATATCTGGGGGCCGCCGTGACAATGACCAAGCTATCAAAGAAGAGATCAAGCTCCAGACAGGTGCCGAACCAATTGATGTGCACATTGCTAAGAGATACTCCGAAAGCTCCGACCAGCCCACTGTGACAATGATTGTGTCCTTTCAGGCGGCGATACAGAGGAGATGGCGGCTCTTCGGCACCAGCCGACTAGCCCGACTGATCGCCAAGACCGCCCGGCCCGCGCAGTGCGACACCTGTTGGGATTATCACTCCCGCTACGCCTGCGACCGAAAACAAGCCTGCCGACGATGCGGCGGGAAAGACCATCGCGATAACGACTGCAAGCAGCCGGAGAGGTGCGCGAACTGTTCCGGGCCCTTCCCGGCAGACCATAAGGAGTGCCCTGCCAGACCTAGGCGCTCACGGCCAACTCGTGCGGCTCTCCAAGATCGAGAAGTACGCCGTAAGGAAGATCGGCTCTCAGCCATACCGGCAAGCCAATATGGAGCTCGAACGGGCCACGGCGACCGCCTCCCCAACCCTCCCAAGGACCGACCCCATCGCCCTGCATGAGAGCTGCCGAGGCCCGCCTAGGCAAGCAACAGGACCAGCAGCAGCAACAGCAGCAGCAACAGCAGCAGCAATGTCGACCCCAGCGGCTGTCCCCCACCAGCGCGCAGGCGCCAGACTCCACAACGCTCCCTCCACCACAGGAAGACAGATCCGAGTCTCCTATGAAGAGGCGCCGACGAAACGTATCCCTGGACCCCTATGAACAATAGGCCCCCAACACTAACAACTCGCGACAGGAGGACGATCCGAGTTCTCCAGGCCAACGTGGCCAAAATAGGGGCCTATCATAGCATAGCCCTACGACTAGCGGAAGCAGAAAACTACGACGTCGTGCTCATCCAGGAACCGAACGTTTGGATAGAAAAGAAGGCGGAGCCTGCAGGACCCAGACGCACCGCTCCTTCCACGCATTCGCCCCAGAACGCGCCTGGGAACCGGATCAGGCCCCGAGAGTGATCTCGTATGTCCGGAACCACCCAGATATACGGGCAGAGCAACTCTGCCCCGCCCCTACGCGTGATATCCTGTGGCTCCGGGTAAACAGCACCCTTATTATCAACTTCTATCGACACGCGAAGACACCGAGCCACTCGACTACCTCCTCCACCAGCAGGACGTCCCCGAGAGATGCCTCATCGCGGGCGACTTCAACGCCTGTCATTTCTCCTGGCAGCCTGGAGCCCGGAGTGCGAGGAACGGAGGACATCGCCCAGTGGGCGGCCGACAAGGCTCGGACTGCTCACCACGCCAGGCGAGGCCACACACGCCCGCGGAAATACCATTGATCTAGCCTTGCCAATATCCCTCTGCGGACGCGCTTATCGAAGAGCACCTTCATACCGGCTCGGACCATTACACGATCAGCATTACGCCCCGGCGGATTCCCCAAGGACGATAGCTAGACCAAGGGTAAGCTCCGAGGAAGAAATGAAGCGATTCGAGGAACTTGTGCGGGCTGGGGCCACAGCACTACCCCGGCTGGCCGTTGAGCCCAGAGGCCTGAGAGGCTGGCCGAGGCGCTGTCTCGCCTACTCCAAGAGGCGGCCGACGCAGCGGGCCGACGGCCCAGGAAGAACGCGAGAGGCACCCCATGGTGGAACGATCAGTGCGCGCGGTGCAGCGGCCGAACTAAGAGCTATGCGGCGGATCTACCCCACAGGGCACGGCAGAGAGGTCCAGACTGCCCGGCGGGAGCTGCGCCGGGCGGTACGGCGGGCTAAGAGACATTTCTGGCAGACTGTTCTAGAAGGCGCCGAGAGCAACCAGGATATCTATAAGATCATGCGGTGGTCGAGGAAACCGAGCCCGTTCCGGGCCCCGCCTATACAGGTAGGCGACCAGGTCTTCGAGACCCAGACGGAAAAGGCAAACGCGCCCGAGTCGAGATCCTAGAAAGGCGCGGGGCCGCGGACGACATCCCGGACCCCTGGGCCCCAGAGGTGCTGGCCCCAGGAGGACTCTCGACTGCAGCGTCACGCTCGCGGATGCGGCATGCGCCTGCACCTCTACGGGCAACACCTCCCCGGGGATCGACGGCATCACGGTCCGAATGCTGCGTCGCGTCTGGAACCACATCGGCGAGGCGGTGAGGGAACTATATGAAGGCTGCCTACACGTGGGCTACCACCCCGCCTGTTTCCGCGCAGCAGAGGTCGTAATGATCCCTAAGCCTGGCAAGAGGGACCTGTCTATTCCGAGAGGCTGGAGGCCGATTTCTCTCCTAGCTTGCCTCGGCAAGGGACTCGAACGCCTAATAGCCCGGCGCCTAGCCTGGGCTGCGATCACACAACGAGTCATCCACAGCCAGCATGCGGGTGCCCTGCCCAAACGTTCAGCGCTCGACCTAGCGCTAGCATTGCTCCACGACGCGGAGACGGCCCTCACCGAGGGGAAAGTCGCCACGCTAATCACGATGGATATACAGGGCGCCTTTGACACGGTTCTGCGGAACCGGCTCCTCCTACGCCTACGGAACAGGGCTGGCCAACAAACCTGGTCCGGTGGGCAGGCTGCTTTATGGAGCAGAGATCGGCCAGAATACGGCTCGAGGATATAAAGACGCCGACCCTGATCCGGGGCCGGTCCCTACAGGAGACGGCCGCCGGGCCACGCGCGCCGCGGGTGAGCTCATCCAGTGGGGAGCCGATAATGGCGTAGTGTTCGACCCGGGCAAGACAGAAGTCATCCACTTCACGAGACCGAGATACAAAGGGGACCTGCCGTCGGTCTGGCACGGGTCCGTAGAAAGGAGCCACAGCAGGACCTGCGCTGGCTCGGCGTCTGGTACGACAGAAAGCTCTCATTCCGCACGCATGTGGAGAAGTGGGCCGCGAAGGCGATGACGGCCGCAGGGTTCCTCCAGAACCTCTCAAACACCCGGCGCGGAATCCCTCCCCGGTCGACACGGCATGCGGTCACGGCCTGCGTCCTCCGATCCTTTATACGGCGCCCATGTATGGTACCCGGGGCGCTTCGGCCTGTGTGGGGACTGCCCGCTTAGTTCCGTCGCGGATCACCTACCTGAAGAATAGGATCCAGCTGACCTTAAACGTCGCAATGCGCGCTATCGCGCCCGTCTGGTGTACCATGCCGATTGTGGCCTCCACCGAGAGACCGGCATCCCCTGCCACGCTGCTCCTCGCAGACGCCCAGAGACGCGCCGCGGTCCGTCTACGCTCCCTAGATGAGCGGCACCCCTGACCCCGTATGAGCATCCTCCCAACGCCTGGCCGGGAGCTAATGAAGAGGCACGGTATGCGGGCCTCGCGCGGCCCAGAAGCAGCACGCCTCGAGACTCCTGCGTCTTCACCAAATGACGGCCCATGCTCCGAGGCCCCGACTTCTCCCCCCAGCACCCCCTCAGCCCGACCCGACAGGGGGCGTAGACAAAACGCAGGCGGCTCGAGACTTCCACTCGTGGCTCCGGGTATGCCCTGAAGATACCCTCATCGTCTACACTGACGGCTCGCAGAGCGAAGACGGCGCCTGCGGGTATGGGTACTCAGTGTGGCTAGGCCCCAGCGAAGTGACCTACGGCAGCGGTCGGGTCCTACTCGCTGAGGTCTACGACGCAGAGGTGGAAGGCGCCTCGAGGGGCTTCGAGCGGCACTCACGTGGTCCCCCAGAACCCCGGACCAGCAGTGGCCGATAGTCGTCTGCCTTGATAACACTGCGGCTATAAGAGCCATACGAGGCAGCCCATCGATCTCGTCGCAAGCGGCTGCGGAGAAGTTCGCTGAGGCCGCGGCTCGACACGGAGATGTCAGCACGCGTTGGTGCCCCGGCCATACGGGGATCGCCGGCAACGAGCGGGCCGACCAGCTAGCAAAGGAGGGCTGCCGGGCCGAGGGTCCGGACAGATCGCCGACCTACGCGAACATCAAGAGACAGGCCAAGGCTGCGGCCAGGCGCGACTTCCAGGACTGGTGGGCCGCGGGGCCCTGAGCAGCTACAGAGCCTAGAGCTCAAGGCCTCGCTCGGGTGCCCCCCGGAGCTGCACACCAAACGAGAGCACCTCCATCACCTGCTCGCTGCGAGGAGCGGGCACGGGGACTTCGCCGACTACCACGAGAGGTTTAACCACGAAGAGGCCCGGATCGAATGCTCTTGCGGGAGGAGAAAATCACCGACACACCCCTTCTACTGCCGGAAGGTAGGTACTCGACACCGCCTAAGGCCAGCCCCACGGCGGGCAAGGCTATCAACCAGGCACTAGGAAGGATTTGACCGGTTCCTCGGGCTAGTAACGGAGGCAGAATTCTTTGATCGGATCTGCCACCGCCACCAGCTCGAGGCAACCCTCCAACCTAATATGTACAACTCTCTCTTTTCTATGTTTTCTGCCCGTAGGCTCCTGTGGGCCTACGGCCCAGCTGACTGCGTGGGCTTTCAGTCACCCGGCTCTGACCGAAGACTGACTAATATTACGGCTTCGCCGCCGTGCCCGGAACCCGCTGACGGGGAAGGGACCTGAGAATCGAGCGGCCACAGAGTCCAAGAATTGCTAGATAGGGGAGTAGAAGTAAGGAACGCGCGACGGGTCTCCGACGAGCATCCCCATCTTGTACTATACCTAGCCTAGCACGTCTTTTGCCCTTATAGGGATGTCCCAGACGGTAATCAATACTACTACTACTACTACTACTGCTTCTGCCCCCCCTCTCCCCCCCGGACTCTTCCCCTCCCCTTTGCTCCTAGATTGCCGCCTCCCTCTTTCCATCTTTCTTCCCCCCTCCACTCATCCATCATATCGAATCTATCGCGTCAACAACCCCCCCCCCCCATCTCGCCATCCATATCGGCCCTCATCCTTCGTGCCAGGCAGACCCGTCAAGGCCATAGAGCGCCTGTGACCCGATTGCCAAACCCCTCCCAAGCATTTCCATGACCAGGATACCACCTCTTCCAATGACCAGCGTCATTTCCGAATCCACTACAGTCACGCTTTGAACCCCACGGGAGCGCGTGTGAGCGAGGAGCGAGGAGTCGAGAGCGAGGAGCCAGAACAGACGATACTCTCCTATCGTACTGCCCGGGTACCAGCTCTTGGTCCCAGCCGTGACGCCGTCTCCCAAGCGCTGCGACCCTCGAAATCACAAGCCCGTCTTAGGCCATCAAGATGCCTGGCGCCAATGTTGCAGTCCTGCCGCCGCCGGCAGCCTCGACATCATCCTCGCGAAAGGCGTCTCTCCCACCGGAGCGCACGTACAAATGCCAGTTCTGCAACCGGGCTTTTAGTAGGAGCGAGCACCGAAGCCGACACGAACGATCCCGTACGTACCTTGACCCCCCAACGGGGGACTCACTTGTGAAATACCTATCCGCCCACTATAATGGTGTAATGCCATCGGATTATTCTCTTATTGTCTGCGTTCGACTCTCACTCCCTTGCGGACACCACCGAGTGCCTCGGAAATAATGCTGACGGCATTCCAGATACCAAGGAGCGACCCTTTAAGTGCATGAAGTGCAGAAGCACCTTTGTCCGCCGCGATCTGCTCTTGAGACATGATCGGACCGTCCACGCCAAGGACGGCGGCGTTCCTCTGCACAGCGATGGCAAACGTCGCGCCGCCGGCCCCAAGACACGAGCCATTGGTGGCCCTTCCAAAGGCGCCCTGCCTCTTGACACGTCGACGTTGGAGCAGATGGAAGCCGGCAACGACAGCATCTTCGATGTAGAGGCTGCGGCAATACTTGTGGCCGACCTGCATCACAAGGCCACGGCTGCCATGAGCGGAGAAGTTGGCGTTTACCACGACGCCCCGCCCACGGCCTATTCGCCTCGCCGCTCCTCCATCTTCGAGTCTACCGTGACATATCCTTCTGGTGCTATTGCTCTTCCTCACAAGGAGACCAAGGGACCCGTCTGGCATCTAGGCATGCATGTAGAGTGTCTAGTACACTAGCCACGCTGCAGGCGCTCTCCACACCGTGGGTCTACCGAGACGACACGGCATGCTACACCGCCATCTCGTTTGTCCACTTGGTGGCACACGTTACCGGCACAGGATCGTGGTCCTTGACGCCATTCCCATCCGCCCACACGGCCTTCTTGGGGATCCCGCCCTCGACCGGCACCATGAACCCGTTGCGCTTCTTCGACTCCATCGTGGCCGTCGAAACACCCGTTGCCTCGATGATGGCTTCCCGGACAGCCTTGCCGAAATGCTTGTCATCGTTGTCGGTCACGTACCATGTGGACGTGGGATCAACCGTATCGCCGCCCAGAAATCCGCTGATGCGCTGCTTGGCATCACGCACCAAGGCATTGTATTTCTCACCGCTCGAAGCCCTCACCACACAGGCATTATCGACATGGCCGACCAGAGCATCTGTAGGCAGTAGGTCTTGGGTCAGGGACATAGCTTGCCAGCAGGAAAGAAAGAAAGCCCTGGTCCACTCACTGCCCTGTTTGGTCGGCACAAAGAAAACCACACACACCGTGGCGCCGTCGGAGCCGATGTTGGCGGGGAGTCCCTCTGGCTGCAACGGGAACTTGCCGGCGTAGCCCTGCTCGACCATGCGGTATTGGAGCTTGGTTATGTCAGCCGCAGGACAAGATGTGCCTCTCGGTCTATACTCAACTCGTTGGGCCATGGCCGGGGGTAGCAAGTAGGTTGGCTAGGCTACCGGACGGTTCGAGAGCACGTAGGCTAGGGAGGGTTCGAGAGCGTCTAAGAAACGCACGATTGCTTGAAGCTGGTAGTAGCTTCCTCAAGAGCCATGGGCAACGAGGGAAACCAGGTTTATATAGCGGCAGCTCAGGCTGCTCCTCGCATGTCGGTTCGCACCAACGACGGCAAGACGCCACAGGCCGGTCGCCTGCATTGCTCCCGAGATTGTACCTGCTCCGTGCCCGTTATGCGATGCCCGTAACGTGGAGCCTATACGAGGAGGGTGACGAGGAGGCCCACAGACACAGATGCTCTATCGAAAACCTCCGACCCGATGGAATACGAGGCCAAGTGGGCGTCGAGCACCGCGGGTCCTTCCTTGGCCAGCTACTAATAGCGAGCCGCAGGCGAGGATGGCCCGCGGCAGCGCCCCCGGAGGGCCGCCGGAGGCATCATGTGCAGTAACGTAAGTAGCGGAGGATCGGAGGGGGAGCAAGTTGCGTGCACCGATGGCAGGGCTCGAGCGGGCGTCTTGTTGCCAGGCGTTGCTCGCGGCCGGCCAAGGGAGAGCCGAGGTCCGACAGGCGGGATGCCGTGACCGACATGGCCAGCATGACGGGTCGAGGGAGGGCATGGCACGGGCAACGGAAGCAGCGGGATACGATAGGGGGGACACATAGACCGCCAATCCCAGCCCGGTCTCGGTTCCGGCTCTGGGCATCGCTGGCGGTGCTTGTCGATGCGATGCCGAGTCTTGGTCTGGATCCGGGGCCCGTCGGAGGGAGACCAACAAGACGAGTGGGATGGGGGAGGTAGTCGAGGGAAGCCCGCGTATCAATAGCTAGCAGTGAGGAGAAGCCGTAAGCCGTCGTATCCACGTAGGCATGACTCGGCGGCGGCACACAGATACGAGGTAGCGACGGGGTCCCACGCACTACGTGGGGCAAGTCGTCGATACTAATAAGTCAGCCCACCTAAAGTCCGGCACACCCCAACACCGGCACTCTCCATAACACCATCGCGTCGTTAAATACATTATATTATAACCGCGTTTTCTCGTGCATCTCTTGCCCTATAATTATAAAATAAATACTATTTATATTAGCAATGCCTCGGCTTTCTAAGTATACCGAAAACTAGCTCTAAGAAGCACTTAAAGCTATTAAAAACGGGATGCCTTAGCTTTATACTAGTTAAAAGTAGGGTATTCTAAGAGGGACCCTCTATATACGTCTTAAAGGGGCTCTGCCTATTAAGGAGGCAAAAGAGGTATATTAGAGGCTTAGCCGAGAGCAGGAAAAACACCTTACTAACTAGGTTCTTACCTAGGCCGCCCTTAGGCTACCTCTAACGTATTATTAAGTTAAGGAATTTACCGGCTATATCTTTAAGGCCTACGGCGATACCCGTTCGCTTAAGAAGTAGTGGATTTTAGGCTTGTTAGCCTAGAACCTAGAGATTAGTACTATTAAAGGTAGATCTCTCGATTCTACTCGCGTTAACGGCGCCTTTATAGCCCGTATTAAGGAATAGTTCTAATTACTTAAGCTACCGGCTATATAGGCAATCCTACCGGAGTCCTGCTTTAATATAGACGAAACGGGTATCCTTAAGGGCCTCGGCTTTAATAGTTTAGTACTAGGGAGCTTAGAAAAGTAAGAGACTCTTAAAAAGCGGCTAGGATCGTGTTATTAGACTATAATAGTCGAATATATCTCTACTATAAGCTAGGCCTTAACTCCCTTTATAATTTTTAAGGGTTAAGACCTTTAATATTAATAGTTCCTTAATAAACTTAATTTTTTATAAGATTAGGACTTTATTATCTTCTTAAAGGGTTAGATAAGTAATATTATTACTATTTAGTAGCTAAAGTAAGTTTTTATCCTTTAAATAAGGCACTATAAGTAGGGTAATACTCTTCTTATTATTAATAGCTATAGGAGTTATTAGACTAATAATTTTATATATAAATACTTTTAAAATAGTATATATCTCTTTTTCTTACTATTATACTTCTTATATATCCTTTAACTACTTAATATCTTAGTTTTCTCGCCTATTAAAGCTATATACCGATATTAACTTAAGAAAGTCGTATCTTTCGATAATATAGCGCTAATTAATAAGGCTACCTTCCTTTATATTTACTATAAAGCCTAGTAGGCTAGCTTAACCGAAAAGAATATTAAGGGAGGTTAGCGCGGGTTTAGTTTATAGCTAATTAATATAGTAAAGCCCTTATTAAACCGCTTTATCTTACTATAGCTATTAATGCTATTAACGCTATTAAAAAGGAAGAATATTAGCTCCTTAGATAATAATAATACCCTTAAAACGCTTAAACGATTATAAGAAGTTTACCGCCTTATTATAGGGCTAGAAAATCGCGGTTAAGTTAACCGTATAATCTAACTACTCTTTAGTAAAGTTAGCCGCGCCCTTAATAGTTAAAATTAGTAGCTTATAGCTACCTAGCTTTAAATATAATAGCTTAAGTATTAATTATATCGTCTATAGCCTCGAAAATAAAAAAAGGTTTTATAGGATCCTAATAGCTAGTTTATATAGATTAATTAAGTTATTAAGACGAGGCAGCGGCTTAAGTATATCCTTAAGCTAGCTACTATTACTATAGCTAATTAGGATATAGATTTTAAAGCTCTATATAGTAGCTAGTAGCTTAAATAGCTAGAAAATACTATAATTAACTATTATAACGATAAAATATAGCTTTACTTACTATTAGAATATACCTACCTTAGTATTATAGAGAGTACTAGTATTAAGGTATACTAGACTTTAGGTAAGCTAACTTATACTATGCCCTACCCTCCTTTTAATAATACCTACTTTAATAGGTAAGATCGTACGCCTATAAATATTAGCTTATTAAAGGGATAAGACCCTTAGTACTTCCTATCTAACTTCCTTCTAAGTATACTTAAAGGCTTTATAAAGACCTTAATTATCTAAAGAAGCACCTTCCTTAATTATAGTTAATTTAAATTTTTATTTTCCCCCTTTAAAGTAAAGGCCGCTAGTTACGCGACTTTAGTAAAGATAAAGAAGTATAAAGTAAAGAAATCTCTAAGACTTATATTAATAACCTAAGACCCTTAAAGCTATATATAAGACCGATAATTAGATAATTATATAGTTAATTACTCTACTAATCCTTAGCTATATACTACGCGTGCTTTAAGTATATACCCTTATCCTTATTAAAACTAGTCTCTAGGGCGTAAACTTATTATTCCGTTTTATTTATATAGCGATAAGTAGCTTTATAAAGCTAAGAATACTTAAAGAACGACGGTATTATTTAGAAAAAATAAAATCTAAGGATTTAATAATTAAAGTAGTAACTACCTTAATAGCGAGAGTTAGGGACCTAATAAGGCGATAGGCTTACTAGGAAATAAATAATTAGATAATGCCTATACTAATAGTAAAGGAAAAGTAATAAGCTAATATTAAAAAACCCTAAGCTCTTATTATTAGCCCTATAACCCTTAATACTAGCGACTTAGTTAAGAAACTACGATCTTTATATAATACTTTAAAAGATATAAATAATAATAATAGCGTAATCTAGACTATTTTAGAACCTTACTAAGACCTCTTACTTATATACGTACTAATAATACTAGTATAAGTATTAATAAAGGATACCTTAATAACCTTAACCTTAGCTCTCTTTTATATAGTAGCTTATAAAGAACGCTTACCTCCCTTTAATAGATAAGAAAGTAAGTAATAAGATAGTTATAATAAGATATCCTTTAACTCTAAAAGCTTTAACTCTAAATTTTATAACCTTATAATCTATAAGTATACTATATCTAGAAACGCTAGCCGTTAAGAGGGAATATTTAATCTTACTACTAGCGAAAAAAAAAATTAAGGTAGATATTAATAAGATTATTAATAGACTTAGAGATATACTTACTAGAAGCTAAGACAACCTTATAAGAAGACTCTACTAACTATAACTCTTACTTATTAGTAAATTTAACGGTAAAAATATAACTAAATTCCTTAAGAAGTTTAAATAAGAGATATATATTAACTATATTTATAATAAGGATAAAATAAACTAGCTTAAAGTCTATATCTCCTTTATATAAGCCCTTACTATTAAAATTCTTATAGATAGACTTACTTAAAAAGAAGTAAAAAAGAAACTCCTTTAATACTACTATTGTAGGAATGTATCTATCTAGTGGTGTGACCAACCATGGTTGGCACGTGACCCGTACGGTCACGTGTGCGGCTGAGGGCAGCGTGCCCCCTTTCTCCACGCTGGCCTCTGCCTCCTTAGATAGAGAAACAAGACGAATACAACATCAGGTTAACCCTAGTACCGTCTCATTGCAGCAGCTGCCGCAGGTGCCTACCCACACTGATCAGTGACCGGCCCACGCCCGTCACAGACAGCTAAGTAGAAGAGACAAATTCCTCAACCTTCGAAGGTGCTATAGTCCGCGTCACTTTACTGTGGCCCTGAGTAGCGCTCAGAAGAAGGTTATTTGTGCTAAGAACAAGGAATCTCCCGCTGGTTTGCCCAGCCGCGCGAGAGTCCTTCCAACTGTTGATTACGATCGCCCGCTAGTTTGCCTAGCCGTGAGCACCGGAATCGACAGGCGACCACATCGCAAACAACTAGTAAGAACGTTCGACCCTTGACGTTAAGTAGCAAGATCCCCGTCAGTTCAGTCTGGCCGCGAACGACCTACTTAGTACGCGACGCTCGACCTCCTATTAGCGACAACTCGTATACGAAGAGACCAATACGAACCCCACATCGTCTCATTCATTTGATCACGATAGCCCCGACCGCCCGAGCTATGTCCCCAGAAGCCCAGCTCGAAGAAATATGCGACCAGATGCAGGCACTAGACATCCAAGCATCCGCATTCCGACAAATTAATATCGACCTTTGGGACAACGATATCACACACGACGAAAAGGACAAGATCG